AAACTTGGCACGTTTAAGACTTGTGGACTTCAAGTCCCAGAATTCCTAACATGACTGGAGGAGGAATTCTGGGAGTTGAAGTCCACAAGTCTTAAAGCTGTCAAGTTTGAAGACCACTGAGCTAGGCATTACCTGTGTGCACATATAAATGCACATCCACATAGAACTTTCTTCTCACTACAAGATGCATGGATAAAAGGGTTAAATCACCCCTTCTCCGTGCATTGAGATAATTTGACTTGGTCTGTCCCTTCCCGTCCTGGGGGAGCAGAATGCCATTTAAACAGAAAAGGAGGAGAAACTTTGCTGCTTTTTCCATTGAGACTTCTTGCTCCATGGCTTGACTTACAGCTGTTTGGCAGACAGTCAGGAGCCAGGCTGTGCTGGGGAGAAGGGCGTCAAAACCTTCCCGGCACAAACAAGGAAACAGAGGAGGAAGTGTGAAGAGAGAGAACTGAAGGAGGGGTCAGGAGAAATCAGCCTGGGACCCCCATGGCAGACTACCCAAGAGAGCTTCAAGGGGGGCAGTTTATCTTTATCTGATAGGCCACAGGACTCCAAACTTGGCAACTTTAAGACTTGTGGATTTCAACTCCCAGAATTCTCCAGCCAGCATAGTTTGGCTGGCTGGAGAATTCTGGGGGTTGAAGTCCACAAGTCTTAAAGTTGCCAAGTTTGGGGCCCCTGTGATAGACCTAGATAAATCCACGTGTGGCCTCTTTCTCTTGTGTTCTGAAGGAAGCCAGGCCATTTGAAGCAGGAGAGAACAGACACAAACAACAGCTGACCCAACATTCAACGTGATAGATGAAAGTTGTGGATAAGCAAGTTACAAACCACACAATAACAGTGGTAGGTAAACTTACTTTTCTCTTAGCTCACTGTAGGAGGAGATAGGCTATGGCAGAAAAAAAAAACACCAAGACTGTGGGAGCACCTTTTCAGACTAACAAGCTCTGTTAAAAGCTAGAAGCTATTAACTCCATCAGATGCATAGCAGGGTTAAACTGATACAGGATTTAAATTATTTGAAAATTAGAAGTGTGTCCTAGTGAATCAGATACACTACTCATGTCAGCCCTGTTCTTCTTCCAGTGCTTCAGGTGAGACCCCTGCCATTTTTTTAAATTTGAACAAGTGCCGCATGGACATTAATCCGCCATAGATATTCAAGCATTGCCTTCCTGATACCATTTTAAAAATCAGAGAAATAATTTCCTCAGACTATAAAACTTGGCTAGAAACGTGAAAAGGAAGTTTCAGAATGATTTCATGGATACTAACTCACCTGCATGCTCTTCTTCCCTACCTCAAACCCTTCAGCTTTAAACAGGCAGGAACCCTTTCTGCAATGGTTTTGACTCTTACTGAAATACATCCATGACTAACACCAATTTGGATGTGACCCTCAGTTGTTCCAGGACAGCATGGCTATAGCCGAGCCACTTGTCACTGCATATAAGGCAGGAGCATTCTTCTCCCAAAATTGCTACCCCCAATTTCATTTATGTGCTGTTAAGTCATTGTCAACTCTGACTGTCCAGATACAGTATATATACATTTTCTCCATGATGATCCCAAACTGATCCTTCAAGTCTTCTATTGGTGCACTCATTGCCACTGCTATCCCTATCCATTATTTAAAAACTCCAATAATGCTTATGGAGTCAGAGTGAGGGAGCTCATTCCCTTGAGGACTTGGTAATACTATGGTGGAAACCATCAACAGCTCCTGCTGACCACGCTATCTGCTGCTACGGCTATTACTACACCTCAAAGTAAAGGAGTTGAGGACAACAGAGTAGGAAAATGTCCTTAAGTTGCCTCATGCCATTGATAAATTCTTGAAAAAGTTGATTTCCAATGACAGACGTGCCTGGACCGAGCACATTTAAGAGGACATCCAGGTAGCCAACAGCTGTAAATGGTTACGTTTGTTTGTATCCTCAGAAAAGGGGTTTTGCCAGGTGGGTCATGTCTAGCACTGGGATGAAGGATCTACAAAAGAGCTGTGGTGGCGCAGTGGTTAGAGTGCAGTACTAAAGCTAATTCTGCCGACTGCCAACAGTTTGATCCTGACCGGCTCAGGGTTGACTCAGCCTTCCATCCTTCCGAGGTGGGTAAAATGAGGACCCAGATTGTTGGGGGCAATATGATGACTCTGTAAACGGCTTAGAGAGGGCTGTAAAGCGCGGTGAAGTGTTATATGTGTCTAAGCGCTCTTGTTATTTACATGACTGGCATCACCATGTAACTCCTGCAAAGCTAGCATGGCTTCCTTATCTTCCCAGGGAAACGGTACCTAAAAGGTTAGAGAGGACTCACCTCCTGTTGAATTGACCTTGACTAGGATCCAATCTTTGGTCCAGTCCTGACAGTCTACTAACGACGCAACAATTTCCTGAACGGAGGCATTCACCTGTAACAGTCTGGTAAGGCAGGAATAGTTGGGCCTGTATATGTCATATGAAACTATGGAGGAAGATGGAAAGGAAAGTGTTAGCAATAGAAGCTATTCCTTAGGTATAGAATATACCCTAACCCAGGGATCCCCAACCTTTTCGACGCCGCGGCCCGGTTCCGGCATCAGCTGGGCCCCGCGGCCCGGTACCGGCGTCAACTGGGCGCCGCCATCTTTTTTTGATGAAAAAGTGCTTCCGGTGAGCTTTCTACCCGGAAAAGCTCACCGGAAGCACTTTTTTACCAAAAAAAGATGGCGGCGCCCAGCAACCAGCGGCCCGGTAAGGCTTGTTCCGCGGCCCGGTACCGGTCCGCGGACCGGCGGTTGGGGACCCCTGCCCTAACCCATCAAGCTAAGCGAAACCTTGCCATCATCTCCTGGAGCCAAGCTCCCATATCTTGGCAGACTAATAATCGTTCTGATTACACAATGGAAAATCAGTGTCAAAGCAGATTAGTTTGCACCCTAAGCAGGGAAATCATGATGACCTTTGTCCTTGATTCGGATGGTGTAACTGCTGTTCAGAAAAGGTTCTTCTTGGATGGCAAACCAGTTCACCATGTTCCTGACCTGGGAACGAACGAAGTAGAAGAGACAGAAAAGGAAAGATTTCTTACCATGCAAGATTACATGAGTGGATGCCTATGGCTAAAGCGCACTCAAGTTTAACAGGAGAGTCCTTTCTCCATAATGCGCACATCGGTCCCTTAAAGATACTTCATGCAAATGTGGGTGTCCAAAAGCACAGGTTGGCCTTGACTTGCAACAATTGTGCCCAACAGTTCTGTTGCTAAGCAAAGCATTTGTTAAGTGAGTTTCCCTCTATTTAACCACCTTTCTTGCCACCCTTGTTAAGTCAGTCATTGCGGCGGTTAAGTTAGTGACACGGTTGTTAAGTGAACCTGGCTTCCCCCATTGACTTTGCTTGTCGGAAGGTCACAAAAGGAGATCACATGATCCCGAGGCACTGCAGCCGTCGTAAATATGAGTCAGCCGCCAAGCATCTGAATTTTGATCATGTGACCATGAGGATGTTTCAAGTGTCGTTAAGTGTGAAAAATAGTCATAAGTCTCTTTTTTTCAGTGCCACTGTAACTTAGAACAGTCCCTAAATGAACTGTTATACTGTTAAGTCAAGAGTCACCTGTCCTCCTTTCTTACGCTCCCAACCTTTCTCTATCTAGCTCAGGGGTCTATAAACTTGACAGCTTTAAGACTTGTGGACTTCAACTCCCAGAATGCCTCCTCCAGTCGTGATAGCTCAGGAATTGTGGGAGTTGAAGTCCACGAGTCTTAAACTTGCCAAGGTTGGAGTTCTGAGCTACTTCCCTTCTTGAATTCTGCTTTACTTCCAACAAAACAAAACAAAAAAGGGTCAGTGAAAATAATTAAGCAAAATTAGGCTTGTCTACTTGGGAATGCCAGCTGCAACTGCTGATAAAGGATCAGAAAATAATGGAAGAACCTCTTGTTAGAGGCAAGGCAATTTACCTGTAACTTTGGGGATGCACAGTTGCTGCCATTTTCAATCCTATTCAAAAGAGGAGAAAAGCCCATGTCAGATCACCATGGTTACTCAGACTGCCAGAGGCCTTTGTTTTTGAAAAACACAGTAGCAGCACTAAAACTGCAAGAATTCAAGTAGCCCGACAAACCACTCATTCAATTGTTCTACAGTTCTCTGTTACAGTTCTTTTAATTCTAAGTATACATCAACACACCTGCGTTGTTGTGCAAACATTTGGCTGCAATTGTTTAACTTGACGTCTGCCTATACCTGCGTTCAGACTTCCCAGAAAACTGGGCTTTTTGCCATGATCATCCCACTTATGGCTAGGCTCTTTTTCTGACAGCACACAAACAATTAAGACAGTTTGAGATGATATAGCAGACTCACACTCGATTTCTCCGGCGATCCTGCATTTGTTCTCGAAGCAGGGGGCCCAAACGAGCATCTTGAGTGGCACATTCTGACATGGTCTGCAAGACATTGACCAAGACCGATTAGCAGAAGCAGCAAAGCAGGCTATCTTAGAGAGGAGCAAGCAGCTCCTCTCCAACAGTGGTGGGATTCAAAATATTTAATACTGGTTCTGTGGGCGTGGCTTGGTGGGCGTGGCTTGGTGGGCATGGCAGGGGAAGGATACTGTAAAACCTCCGTTCCCACCCCACTCCTGGGGGAAGGTTACTGCAAAATCCCATTCCCTCCACACCCCACTAACCTGCTTTCCAGCTACGTTCTCCTGTGCAGAGCAACAAAAGAAGACCCAGCTGATCAGTTGGGACTTGGGAGGCAGAGATTAGATGGGGGTGGGGCCAGTCAGGGATGATATTTGCTGGTTCTCTGAACTACTCAAAATTTCCACTACCGGTTCTCCAGAACTGATCAGAACCTGCTGAATACCCACCTCTGCTCTCCAGATTTCCAAGTCCACAATAAGGGAGAAGAATGCTAGACAACTAATATGACTTATGTAAAAATAAATACGCGTGGGACACATTAGCCCGTTTTATAGTATGAAGTGTGGTGGCAACAGCAGTAAAATTAGGACGGAGATTAGGTACTTCAGCCTTCCAATAATCTCAGCTGCAAAAATCGCTGGAGAAAGTCAGGTTTTGCATGCATGTACGTAGGTGTGCTACGCGAAGGCATGGGTAGGTGTGGGTTCTCCCAGCCAACACCCAGAACTGCTGGGAGAAGGGCAGCGTGCAATAACAACTGCGGGATTTCTGAATGCAAATTGATGGAATCTTGACACATAACCCACCAGATTTAACTGTGGTTGAAAAGAAGAAAGTGTGGGCAATTGATGTGGCAATACCAGGAATAGTAGAAGACAAAGAATTGGGAAAGATCACACAATATCAAGAACCAGCTGTGGTGGTCTCAGTGATTATCAGCACATACGGAAAGATCTTGGATGGTATTTAGAAACTCTGCACATTGATAAAATTTCCAATTGTCAATTACAAATGCCACACTGCTTGGATCCATTGCATACACCATGCCAATGCATTACATTACTTCCAGTCTAAACATGTGGCTGGCTGTAACCAACCAAACATCATCATCATCCAAAAGCAACAATGATGCCACTGTCATTGACAATATTACCATCGGTCAATTGCCAAAGGCAGCCTTACTTGGAACTGCTTACATCCTGTGACAATATATTTAATACCATCAAACATCCTACATCTGCCTATCCCAGATCCTTGGGAAATACTTGATAGGTGGACAAATGTGCCAAATCCAGTCTAAACATCTGGCTGACTGTGCAACAAACTATAATACCACCCATCACCACATATGAACCTGGGGTGGGGGGAGGAAGTTGCCTATTTCACAGGTACTGTATCCAGGCAAAACATGCCTCCCAAGCCACACCAAATTATTTATTTTTCACATTTTGGAACCTCCCATCTCCCTCCATTTTTTATGGCCACTGTCTCTTTCTATACTACAATTGATGTCCCACTGCCCCGTGTTGCTCCCTAAAGACAATTTTCGGCCTTGGGTCCTCACCAACCTCCCCTTACCTGCAAAAAGGCCACAGCACAGGCCTCTGCTTGCAGCAGCCGTCCGTACAGGAACACCCACTGGTTGACCAGCCACAGGATCTTTTGCCTTTTCCTCAGGATATAAGCAGCTTTATCCTGCTCCGAGCCCTCGGAAGGTTCCGAATGGAAGGTGAATGAAAGTCAAGGAGGCGTAGGCCCAAAATGATGCAATAGACCCCATTCAGGTTCTGAGGGGGGGTTTTGGGGGGGGAGGGGCGGGAGGGTGGTGAGACTTGATTTCTTTGCATGGTAGTATTATCTGAGAGTAGCAGGCATTCAAAAGCATATGGAGCTGGCATGTTGCCCACAATGTCCAGTGTAAGATTAAAGACATTGGGGGATATTATATAGCCAACCATCAAATGCTGTTGGATGTATTCCAAATGTGGCAGTAGTGAGATGCAGGCAGGTGTCAACAGTGGGCCTCTGAGTTGCTGGGTCCCATCCTAAGCTGACCGGCCTTTTCATAAACTGTAGACAAGGCTTCTCCACATGGAAAACAGAAGGTTGTAATTCAGCACCCCTGGGAGACAACACGTTGGAGAAGGTTGGTGATAACACAGCTTGACTGACACTTCATCTTAAAGCTGTTGTGTGTCCCCACCCCCACTCTGCATCCTAATGCAAAATTCTGCAACCGAGAATTATATGGGTCTCATAATTATCCATGCTTACAATATGGAAAAGTTAAGAGAAAGGAGACTTCAAGGAAAGTAAAATATGGGAAGTCTATACATATCTGTGTGTGTACACAGGATTTGTAGGATTTTCCTGTCATATCAAAATTGATCGGGATTCAGGAACACTATATGAAAAGGGATTGACATGATGTTGCTGGAGAGAATTTAAATGAAAAACCCAGTCCTCTATTTGGTTATAACATGCCTAGCGTGGCTTCTAGAACTCCAACAGACTGAGAACAATGGAGGTTGTCATTTAATACATGTGGGGGGCATTTAGTTGTGGAACATTGTCCTAGGATAAAGGTAAGATCTTAACAGACTTTGGACCAAATCTGGCCCTCCAGAAGTGCTATCTCTTCCCTCCATTGTTCTGCAACAATCGAGAAAGAAAGGATGCATGGGGGGCATTATAATGCTCTTTGCTAAAGCAACCCAGTGAACTCCAAAGAAAGCCTTTTGCTGACTAGGCTTCTTCCTCTAAGATCCAAGGCAGAGGCAACCAGGAAGGATATTGTTGGAGCAAGGTTCGGCACAGCTGTGGCGTCGGCATGAACACACTGTACGTCAGCAGAAAATCTCCCAGAAATGTATCTGCAGAGAAGAGAGAAGCCATTTTGAAATACGACTTTTGGGCTAGGCACTGTTCTAATCTACCGCCCACTAGCGTAGAAGATTCACTCTCTCCTCTGCCTTGACATAACGCTCCACACATGTTCCAGCACAAGAACAGCCACAGACCACTTGACCAAAGAGATGAGCAAGTAGAAAGCCCCCCTCCCCCGCCCTCTATTAAAATAAAAGCCAAGGATGTTCTTCCTGCAATGGTGGGGTTCAAAAAGTTTCCCTTACCAGTTCGGTGTGAGCGCACACTTTGCGCACGAACAGTGTTTGCAACTCACCTTCTGCTGCAAGCCCTGTGTGTAAAACAGCTGACGCGCGGCAATTGGCTGTGGCACGCTAAGCCACTGAGGTTGAAAAGCAGGAAATAAAGGTCAGAATAGACCCGAGGCAGGTGGGAGGGCCGAGCAGCTGATCCTCAGAGCTACCGGTTCAGGTGAACCAGGCCAAACCGGTAGAATACCCACCACTATCTTTCTGTCTAAAGACCATCTATGTGATTAAGGCTGGGAGTCCTTCCAGGCAAAGTATGATTCCCTAAACAGATAAGATTTTTGTTGGGAATATGGATGACATGGTTACTTTCCTACATCTTTTTTCATCTTGCTTCTTTCCACAAAGGCCATTAAGAAAATGATAGCAGAGCGGCACAGTGTATTTGAATTGACCCCACTAGAACAGGAATGCTGTTCTGGGCCTTTGAGTGAGATCCTGGAGAAGGGAAAGGAAAGAGATCACACCCAATAATGGATGGGTTGAGGGAGAAAAGTAGGAGGGGCCAGGGCAGCCATTAGAATGATTTAAGTTACATTTAGTTGTACTAAATATTTACTTTTGCTCATGTTGCCAGCGTTAAAATAATGCAATAGGGTGAATCAATTGCACAAAATTAGTTAAAATCAGGTATAGGAAGTCCTTGATTTGTGACCGTTCACTTAGAGACCATTCAAAATTACAACAGACCACACACACACACACACACACATACACACCAAAAAGATACTTACAAGCCGGCCTCCCCATCTCTGTGGTCACATGAATGCATTTTGGGCACTTGGCAATTGGCTCACATTTATGGTCCTTTGCAGCACCCCATGGTGACAGGGTCACAATTTGTATTTTAGCCAAAAAAAAACAAAAACCCCAAACCCAGCAATTACTTCCATTTTGGGGCAAAAACGTCCCATAGCAAACAATGGGTTTGCTTAACAGCTACCGGATTTGCTTAATGACTGCCATAAAAGAAGGCATAAAATCGAGTCAGTCAAAAAGATGATGCACTTCACAACAGGCTCCATTATGGTCGTAATTAAAGGACTACCTGTAATATAAACAGGTAATAGTCCCCAGGAATCTTCCTTTTGTAATACAGCAAAAGTGACCATTCATAGCAATATTTGAAGGGTTATGATCGTGTGCAACTGTTGGTTGTACATGTCTGCCTTAGGAAACTTTAATTTGAAATCATTCTCAGAATATAATTCTCAGTTCTGCTCTGGACAAATTAGCTGCCTGAAATCCTCCAACTTCACACTATATTGGGTTACAGAACAATTGTTCTGGAGAGTTTTCCTTTACACAAACTATTTTATACTCACCAACAGGGTCAGAAAGGGTAGAGTCTGAACGCATGGTTTCCAATAGGTAATCAAGTATTTTTTCAGGGGTTCCAGCCATCACTGAATATCTGAAGGAAAGAACAAGATATTGCGAATCCAAAGTAGCAATTGTGGCGAATTGTAGCAAAGTAGCCTTGTGGCGAGATGGGCAGCAAACAAATGTAATAAATAAATAAAGGTAGTTCTTGACTTACAACCATTCGTTTAGGGATCATTCGAAGTTATAACCTTACCCAAAAAAAGTGACATGACCATTTTCAAACTTACAACTGTTGCAGCATCCCCATGGCCACAGGATCAAATTTCAGATGCATGGCAACTGGTTCATATTTATGAAAACAGTAACTGTGAGAGGGACCTTAGAGTCCTAGTAGATAATCATTTGAATATGAGCCAGCAATGTGCAGCAGCAGCCAAAAAAGTTAATACAACCCTGGGTTGTATTAACAAGAGGCATAGAATCAAGATCACATGAAGTATTAGTGCTGCTTTACAAAACCCTAGTAAGACCACACCCAGAATACTGCAACCAATTTTGGTCAGCATACTACAACAAAGATGTTGAGACTTTGGAAAACCTTCAGAGAAGAGCAACCAAGATGATCAAAGGCCTGGAGGCTAAACCATATGAAGAACGGCTACAGGTTTTGGGTCTGGCTAGTCTAAGAAAAGAAGAATTAGGAGTGACATGACAGCAGTATTCCAGTATTTGAGGGGCTGCCACAAAGAAGAGGGGGACAAATTATTCTCCAAAGCACCTGAGGGAAGGACAAGAAACAATGGTTGGAAACTAATCAAAGAGAGAAGCAACCTGGAATTAAGGAGAAACTTCCTAATAGGAGAATTAACCAGTGGAACAGTTTGCCTCCAGAAATCGTGAGCACTCCATCACTGGAGGTTTTTAAGAAGAGACTAGACAGTCGCTTGTCTGGGATGGTATAGATTCTCCTGCTTGAGCAGAGGCTGGACTAGAAGACCTCCAAGGTCCCTTCCAGTTCAATTCTAATTTATTCTTATTCTACGATGGTTGTAGTATTCCAGGGTCATGCAATCATGTTTTGTGCAAAGTCAATGGGGAAGCCAGATCCATTTAATAACCACGTTGCCAACCTAAGAACTGCAGTGATTCACTTAACAACTGTGGCAAGAAAGGACATTAACATGGGGCAAAACACACTAAACCACAAAAATTTGGGGCTCAATTGCAGTCGTCAGTCGAGAACTACCTGTATAGATCCCACACTTGTATATATCTAAAGCGGTGCACACACAAACAAAATCAGCATGCAATTTACAACGAGGCAACTTGCACAATAAACCTTACTGAAACAAATATATTTTAGCATTACATTCACAAGAATTGGTGGCTTCGCTATCAAGCATATGGGGTGCAGGAGAAGAGACTGCCTGCAAGGGAAGATTCCCTGTTCTATCAAAGGGGAAAGGGGCGGGGGGACGAGGAGGCAGGTATATCAGAGGAAGCAGCAGGGAAATGAAAGGGGGCAGATTGCTGTACCTACTGCTCCCCAGAGTCCCAGCAAGGTGATTGGAATTACTGCCTTGTGAATTCTTCTCTAAAACAAGCACCACTTTCCCATGTTCCTTCAGCCGTAGGGTGTTAGCTTCGACATCCTACGAAGAAAACAAATGATTATACACTAGCTTACACGATCGCAGCCTAGACAAGAAAAGAAAAGAAATAATTCAATTTCTGAATTCTTTACTAGTTTTGATATCCATATGCCAGTCTTGGGCAACCCTACTACTAGGCTCCTGTGACTTTGTCACAATGTTGACATAATAAAGCATAAAATCCAAATAGATTAATTTAAAATATCAAAGCAGGGAAACGTATTTTTAATCACTCTAGCACAGGGGTGTCAAACGCAATTTCATTGAGGGTGGCATCAGGGTTGTGTTTGACCTCAGGGGTCTAGGGGGCATGGCCAGGGTGGGATACCAGCTTGATGTCACTCGTGTTGGGGCGTCTGTGGTGGTCCGAGCACTCTGCCAGTGAAAACGGGCTCCCGAGCTCCGTTATTGGCTATGATGGCCTCCTGCAGCCCTCTGCCAGTGAAAACAGAGCTTGGTGGAGCCACATGCAGCCCTCCTAGGCTCTATTTTTTGTGGCAGAGGCACCGTGGGCCAGTCCTTCGCTATTTCCAGGGTGGCCCCGTGGGCTAGATCTAAGTACCCCGTGGGCCAAATCTGGCCCACAGGCCTTTAGTTTGATACCCCTGCTCTAGCATTTTTCTTTGCAAGAAGTCTACAATATGCAATCAAGTACTGCAAGCAGGCTGATTAATCAGTGTGATCAAGACTGACAACTGTTGGAATTTAGCAGGGGTTGGGGGAAAATCTACAATTCCTATCCATCCTCCATTTGGGACTCTGCATCATTGCTCGAATATTCTAACTGATTCTGATTAATATATATTAGATGGAACAGAAGCAGGGGCAAAAGAGAGGTTGTATACAATTTGTGTTAGACCAATACAAAGAAAGGCAATGATGCAGACAATTGTGCGATGTGTGATTTTCCAGCTGTTGATTACAGTAATCGAGATCATGAAACATGAGAATTTGCATTCACCATCATTTTGAAAGCTACATATTGCCACTAGGAATAAATAAATTCAAGTAAAACAGATTAAGGGCAGGAAAGTTGAAGCAAAGAGAAGGGTAACTGGGCTCTGAAACAGATACAACCATGAGGAACTGTTGTGGCTC